GGGATTCTCAGAAAAAATGATCAGAGATTCACATATCACCAATTAAAAGATACTTTGTAAAAATTGTTTTGTTGTGTCTTTGGTTTTAATCTTACCAAGAATCTTAGGTATGATTTCCTATATACCATTCTCCACTTTCGTGCTCTCAATTCCTCCCGTAAATTCACCCGTTTCCACAGCATTGACCACTTTATTTCTCTTGATTTTCTTCTTCTTAATAATTAATTTCTTCTTCTTAATAATTAATACTGTAAGATACTCCTTTTCGAATAGTGTATTTTCTTCTCCTTTTGAAATTTGGAACCCTTTAACTCACGTAGATGGATTTCGAACCCTCTTTAGCTCACGTACAAAAAAAAATTAATTATGTAAATCTTCGTCTATTTTTTAGTTTTAATTATTTTTGGATTATTTTCATAGTTTTCAATTTTTTTGTTTGACTTCATTTGACTTCTTTCGATAAGTTTGGACTCGGTTTGAAACTTAACTCTCTAATATATTCTCTAATATACTCGGTTTAACCCTCTAATATACTCGGTTTATCCAATGCATTACAAAAAGTTTGAAACGTTTATATAACGTGTCATCAATTTCTTCTTTAGATGCTTCTTTAAACACTACAGATATAAAAAGAATTAAAAGTTTTTGAACAACTTTTTGTAAATGTGTTCGTCAAAAGAAAAAACTCTATCAAAACTGTCTTTCCTTTTAGATAAGAATAAATTATTTGTTTTTTTAACATCAAAAAGAGAAGTAAAATCTCAAAATCCAGGCAAAAATGAGAGGTCAGTGATTCCTGTGGGAAGATTGGCAATGTTATTGAGCAGAGCGAGTCTGTTTTTCCTCACTCTTTCTTCCTCCTGCAAACCGTTAAATTCAAACGATAAGGCTCTTGAAATCCCCGAGCACACTGTGAACAAAGTTTCTTTTCATATTTTATTCATTTTGTATCTATATTATAAAGTTAAGTTTCTAATTAAATTGTATCTTCATTTTCAATTTAATTTCTTTTCGTATTTTATTCATTTTGTATCTCTATTAAAAAGGTTAAGTTTCTAATTAAATTGTATCTTTATTTTCAAGGTTCTACATTTTCTTTTTTGTGACCAAAAAGAAAACACCATAT